TAGCTGGCTTTAGGTTAGGGATAGTTATCTAAGAAAAACTTGTTTAGATATAATTTAATTTTTTTCTGAAATAAACTTGAATATTTATGTCATTTAAAAATAAATTAGTATTAAATATATACTCAATTTTATCTTTTCAAAGATGCATTTTACAAATATGTTTATTTTTCTAAACCTAAGTTCTTGCTATGTAAAACTACTTTATTTAGGAAAATATTTGTATCTAAATATTTAACAAAAGAACAATTTTTTTTCCTTTACTGAGAAAACTTAAGTGGTAGCTAGCTTTGGAAATTTTAAGTTTATGCATGACTTTTGAAGTACTTGGTCATCTAGAAGTACAGCCAGGAAATAGGTACCATAGAATCTCAGAGACCAGGGAGGGAGAAACAACCCATTTGAGGAGAAAATCTAAAAACAGTAAAACCTTCCAAGAACTTTCCCCATACCACATCTTATTGAAAAAGGAAGACATCACTACTCTCAAATCAACAGTCAAATGGATGACTCAGATATCATTAATTTTTTTTGATAACTTGTTAAAACTATAAAATAGGCACAGTTTCAAAATTATTCTATCAACTCAGTATTATCATCACTCATAAAGCTATTCCATAATTGGAAAAAATGAAAATAACCCTCCAAATATTAAATATTTCAAGATTATTGTGCAGCTGAACAATTTCTGATCATCAAACCAATGTCTTTTTTTCTTCCTATTAGCCAAATAATTCAATTATGAACTGCAACCAAAATATAAAGTACAACTATATTAAGGTAAATACAGTACATTTAGTTCAAGAAGATACTATTTCCTGTCAAATTGATAATCATGCTCATATAATTTGAACGACTACATTGGCATACAAAGACTCTCATCCTTTAAAAACTGTTTCTAATCTATTTCATTTTAAATACTATCCAGTATCCTTTAACAATATTAATATACCACCAAATTACTTTTTTTTCAAATTACTTTCTTTGTAGAACAAAGACAAGCACTTTAAAGCTTGTAAAGTGACTAATAGTTAATGTTGTCAAATTAAGTTAAGCAATTTAACACAATTACTAAATGTACTGACTTCTTAAAAAATTGTAGTAATTAAAGAAACTGTTTCACTGTCTTTTATAATGTACATAAATAACTTGGTTTAAGCCAAGTTGTTTGGGCAGGCTGGCTTTTTCTTTTTTTTCCAGAATTCTGGTCGATATCCTTGAAGTCCAATCCAAGATTTTGTTTATAAATTGCATTCATGCAAATTGAATGAGAGCATTTGCTAATACAAAATTGGATCTCCTCCTTTCTCTGATTTTGAGTTCATATTATTAAAGCAGTGCACATTCTTATTTTGCTTTATAGCCATTACTGTCAATGTCAAGGGTACTCTTACTATAGAAAAAAATAACATTGATCTGAGTTAGGCAGCTTTCAGAGTTGCCCATTGCCTAGAAAGGCCCTATACCACACTTGCTACTGAAAATCCCACTATAAGAACTTGTTAGAAGTTAGGAGGGTTAATAGACGATGTTTGGCCTATTGATTCCTCTCTAGGAAGTGAGGACATTGAAGTAAATGATACTGTTTCCTTCCAGCCTTAAACTGAATAAACAGGTGATGAGAAACAAAAACACCTGAGTAAAAAGACCTACTGATACATTACAGTTAATCATTTTCAACTCTGCAACTAGTTCTTCCATCAACAAATTGAGATTATTAGTTCACCCTTTAGTTGAAGACAAATGATAAAACATCAATTAATTCAGATAATCATAAGGAGTAGAATGAAAATAAGGCAAAGTCGTGGGTTTCACTTCCACTGTGGTGTCAAAATACACTTTCTAGAGATTCAAGTTGATTGTCAGAAGCCTTAACATGTCCCCTAGATTCCTCCTGTACTCTCATTGTATCTTTTGCCATTCGTATAATATTTGCCAAAAACTGCTTTGTATTATAGTGCAAATAACCATTTGTGATAGGCAAAAAATCCCATCCCGTCCCCAACAACAACTAAAAAGATATCAACATCAACTTCCTGGAAAATGTGAATGTATCCTTATTTGGAAAAAAGGGTCTTTGGAGATGTGATTACCAACCTTGAAATAAACAGATTACCCTGTATTATCCAAATAGAACCTAAATGCTATTACCAACTTCTTTATAAGAGATGCACAGAAAAAAAACAAACACAGAAAAGGAGGAGGTAGTGTCAACAGGGGAGGTGAGACAGAGATTAGGGAGATTTAGCCACAAGTCAAAGCATGCTCACAACCACCAGAAGCTACAAGAACCAAAGGACAGATTCTCCTCAAGAGTGTTCAAGAGGGAGTGTGCCGTACCTATACCTTGGATTTGGACTTCTGCCCTCCAGAACTATGAGGGAATAAACTTCCATTGGCTTAAGCCACTCTGTGGTAATTTGTTATAGCAGCCGCAGAAAACTAATATACCCTTTCCAATGTTGTTTCCTCTCACTGAATTCATGGTATTTATCACAGTTGTAATTATTTGCTAGTTCCTTTATCATCTGTCTCATTCCACCAACATGTAAGCTCCTTGAAAGTGGGGCTCTTCCTTGTACACCCAGTCTCTGAGCATGGTATCTAGAAACTGTTAAATGAATGAACAGATAAATGTCCCCCACAGGTAAGTCTTGTAAGACAGAGCCCGTGTCCACTGATCTTAATTTCCAAGCCTCCAGCACAGAGCCTTGGAAAAAACTGTTGTTGAATTAGGTTTGAGCTCTATAAATCAGTAAGTCTGGATTCTAGACACTTTACTGCAATTTACAGTTGTGCCATGGCCCCACCTCTATCTTATATGCATCTATTATTAGGCTTAGCATGTTCAAGAGGATTTGAGCTCTTCACCTTAGATCTGGTAAGGTGCAGATCCAGATACCACTCATTTTCAAATCCTTAATATCTCTAGTCCCGGCCAGGCGCAGTGGCTCACACCTGTAATCCTAGCACCCTGAGAGGCCAGGCGGGCGGATTGCTCGAGGTCAGGAGTTCAAAACCAGCCTGAGCAAGAACAAGACCCTGTTTCTACTATAAATAGAAAGAAATTAATTGACCAACTAATATATATAGAAAAAATTAGCTGGGCATGGTGGCGTGTGCCTGTAGTCCCAGCTACTCGGGAGGCTGAGGAAGGAGGATCGCTTGAGCCCAGGAGTTTGAGGTTGCTGTGAGCTAAGCTGACGCCATAGCACTCACTCTAGCCTGGGCAACAAAGTGAGACTCTGTCTCCAAAAAAAAAATTATATATATATATATATATAGTCCCCAATCCCCAGGCTATGGACCCATACCCATACCCATCCGTGACCTGTTAGGGACTGGGTGACAGAGCTCCTCTGAACCACCCCCATCCCCAAAACCGATGAAAGAGTTGAGTGATGAGCAGGTGATCAAAGATTTATTTGTGTTTACAGCAGCTCCCCATCCATTACTTGCATCACTGCCTTCCAGTGGAAACACTGTCTTCCATGAAACCCGTCTCTGGTGCCAAAAAGGTTGGGGACCGCTGCTTTATATGATCTACAAGGGTTGCTGTATGGTAGGGACAATAAATACTAGGGGTTCTGAGTGAAGCAGTAGAATGATAACCAGCTTTAGACTCAGCTATAAATGAAACACAACGTTGCTTCCTTGAGTGAGTTCCTAATCAACTCTGAATCTCAACATTCACAACTGAGACTAATTCTTAACTCACAGCGTTATGAACCCATGAACCACTTCGTCTGATTACTACCCTGTTTCCCCGAAAATAAGACCTACCCATAAAATAAGCCCTAGCAGGATTTCTAAGCATTTGTGCAATAGAAGCCTGAAAATAAGCCCTAGTGCTGGGCGTGGCTACCCAGCGCATCTGCACAACCCATGCATGTTCTCGCAGAGCGGGAAAGAACACGAGCAGCCCTTCTCATCTGCCCGAGAGCTCTATGGCTCCACAGGAGAGATCGGGGCCAGTGGCTCTAAAGGAAATAGAGTCGCAAGACATTCAGGATGGGATTCGGGGTTTGGAGAGTGATGAAGATGTTCCAAAAGACGGCAATTTAATTTTATTTGAATCAATGCAGATGGTTGTACCGTACTTAAAAAAAAATAACACATCCCCTGAAAATAAGCCCTACTAGGGCATCTTCTAGAGGAAAAACAAATATAAGACCCTGTCTTATTTTCAGGGAAACACGGCATTCACGGGGCATCCGCCTAACTCAGCCAGGAGGAGACTATTGGACAAGAGTTCCCACACCACTTGCCAGCCACGTGACCTTGGGCAAGCCGGTTAACCTTTCGAGCCACAGTTCCTCAGTCAAAAGCTGGCAAAAACTACCTCCCATGTAAGAAGTGGCTCTGACCTAGAACAAAATGAAGTAACTGAACAGCGACACTTAAGAGAACTCGTGTGAGTCTCAACAATGTATGCAAGTGATTTTGAGCAAAAAAACACTGCCTTTTGAACACGCACAGTGACCTTGAGCAAATAAACACTCCTGCTTGGGGCCTTCCGAAACAATGAAGCTTTGGTCCAGCAGACCCTACTGCTGACTAACCCAACCCGAGTTCGGGAACCTTCCAAACAAAGGGTTCGGGAATGCACGATTCCATCTCCTTCAGCGACCTACCCGTCATCAGTGCTTCGAGGAGAAACCAAGCTGACGTGACAGGGACTCTAGAAGAGCACCTGGGAGAGCTCTTAAACCACGCTAAGTTCGAGCTTTTGAGCTCACGGAGGTCAAGACTTAAAAGAGAGCGCGCGCCACAGGTTGGACATTCCGCATTTCCGCAAGAGTCCGCGGTTGCCTGGGCAACGCTACGTCACCCCGCAGCCTCACGCGTCTGTGCGCGGGAAGATTAGACGGCGCGACGCGCAGGCGCCACCGGAGAGCCAATGGGCGCGGCCGGAATGCTGGCGGCGCTAAGCCCCGCCCCTTTCCGATCGGATTCGGGGGTGGGGCGGGGGCGGCGGCCGCGGGAGCGCGCCCGTTCTTCTGAGGCGGGCGGGCGGTTGCCAGTGGCTCGGCGGCTGGGCGCCCAGTCGCGTAGGTGACGCACACGGTCCTTCCCCAGGGACGGTCCGGAGCCCGCCCAGGCAGTCGAGCCCTCTCCAGACCCCGGCGTCCTGCAGGCTGGGGCGGCGATGGTGCGGGTCGAGGGCTGGCGGTGGAGCTGACCAGGGGCCGCAGGGGCTGAGAAGAGCTTGCCCGCGCCGGCCAAGCAGGAAGGAAGCCTTTCCCGGCCCTCCTCCTTCGGGCTCCGGGTTCCCGCCCGCCTCTGTCCATCCGCCAGGGTCACGCCTGTCTCGGGAGTCCCCGAGCTCTGTGCCCCGCAGGCCCTGGCCCCCCTCGGCGGGAATGTTCAAAAATGAGTATCAGGTAACCCGAACCGGCTCTGCACCCTGCTGTAGCTTTCTCCACTTGGGTGAGGGTGAAGCCTGTCCCCTCCCGCCCTCCCCGTAATACTGTCTTTTCTGGGGTCAGAACGAATCCAAGGGTGAATGGTATTGACCACCCCCCCTAAAAAAAGAAGAGAAAGTTACCAAGGTCTAGGTCAGGGGTCCTCAAACTTTTTAAACAGGATGCCAGTTCACTGTCCCTCAGACCTTCGGAGGGCTGGAGTATAGTTTAAAAGAAACTATGAACAAATTCCTATGCACACTGCACTTATTTTGTTTTTATTGTTTTTTGTTTTTTTGACGCAGCGTCTCGCTTTGTTGCCCAGGATAGAGTGAGTGCCATGGTGTCAACCTCGCCCACAGCAGCCTCAATTTCCTGGGCTCAAGCGATCCTCCTGCCTCAGCCTCCCGAGTAGCTGGGACTACAGACATGTGTCACCATGCCTGGCTAATTTTTTTCTATATATATTAGTTGGCCAATTAATTTCTTTCTTTTTATAGTAGAGACAGGGTCTTGCTCTTACTCAGGCTGGTTTTGAACTCCTGACCTCTAGCAATCCGCCTGCCTTGGCCTCCCAGAGTGCTAGGATGACAGGCGTGAGCCACCATGCCCGACCTTATTTTGAAGTAAAAAAAACAAACGGGGAAAAACACCGGCATGTGGCCTGCGGGCCTTAGTTTGAGGATGCCTGGTCTAGGCATAGGATTTGGCTTTATTTTTGTTTACTTCCCAGCTCAGTGCTTCTTGTGGTGTGTGAGTCGTCTGTGATTTTTTTTTTGGAAAATGCAGACCTTAAACCCCACCCAGACCTCCTGAATCAGGATCTTGAGGGAAGGGTCCAGAAATCTTGAGTTTTAATAAGCGCCCGAGCCATACTCCCTGCTGATGCACACAGGTTATCTTAGAAGCTATTTAAGAAGAGTGAATGTATGAATGGGTTAAACCAAGAAGGAAAATAAGCACTTTGTCTATGTGCTATTTCCTCTTTTCCTTAAACTGGGGGTCAGTGAGTCCGAGACATTGGGGTACATCAGAACCACTTGGGGTACTTGTTAAAATGCAGGTTTCCCGACCCTCACCTCAGATGTAGTGAATCAGAGTCTCTAGATGGTGTCTGTCTGTTGACTGACCTTTTAAACAGCTCCCCCCAGGTGACTTTAATGCAGGTGGTCCAAGGGTCACACCTGGAGAGATACTGCTTCTGGGTCTTCCTCTGTCACTTTGAATAACCTACAGGGGCCCTCAAACTTTTTAAACAGGCGGCCAGGTCACTGTCCCTCAGACCGTTGGAGAGTGCGCACTGGGGGCCCGGGATGAGTCGGCTGCTAAGCAGGACAGGCAGCGGCGGCAAAAACACCCGTAGTTTGAGTATGCCTGATCCTAGAGTGTCTTCACGCAACCTGTTTTCTTCACTTCACTGGGCGTCTCCTTTGCTTAGTTGGCCCTTGATCTCCTGCCCTCCCTTCCTCACCTCTACTTGAGGTCACACTCCTATTTACAGTCTGTTTACCATCCTAGTCGTGCTGTTCTGACGGAACTTATTTCACGGTACACAAACTATCCACTGGTCTCCACCTCCTTTTGCTTATGCTTTTTCACCAAATACTACCTGCCTCCTTGTGTGTGTCCTCAGAAGATTCTACAGTTCTCTTTCTTCTATCTCATTTAATATGAAATGAGTAGAACAATTTTAGAGTTTGTTTCACTTCAGATAGTTATATTGTTATTAAAAAGTATATGCCTACTTCGGGGGAAACTTTGGAAACATGGGAAAACAAAAAGAAAGTTTGTCATCAAGTCTTAAGGGTTTCTCTTAAAGGAAAAAAACAGCCAGCTGTCTCAAATTTAAAATTCATAGTGAAATATGACTTGCCCTCAGAAGCTACAGTAATTCTATCCCAAATACCAATTTGCACATATACTGCTCATGGAAGAAGAAATTAAATGTCTTAACTTCAAGTGATTGTGTGTTAAAACACAGAAGTGAAAATATCTTTATGTTATTGAGAAAAACTAAAAGCTGGAAATTCGTTACAGAAATTAGATTTTCTCATGTTTTGCTTATAATTCAAATCATATTTAGTCTTCATTTCAGATTTTCAATTTTCTCAACAAATTCTTCCTCAGGTAATCATCTTGTTTAATTCCCCTTTTGAAGCTCTGGACATTAAGTAATTCACATAAGCATGTCCCTCCACCTTCTCAGGTTTACAAATGGCCTGTCTATAGAAAGGATTCTCTGTTTTTCTTGTACAGGTTTTATAGATCTCCAAATTGATTTATATTAAATAGATAAAAATATCTTGTAGGACTGCTCAAAATAAGAATCCCCTGCAGTCCCTCCCGGGCTTTTTTATTGACCAGTAGTAAACTATTTAATTTCTCCTTTGTTTTGTAATCTTTGATGGCACTCTTGAGCCCTTGCTATAAGTTGAGTATTATGCTTGATGGTTAATGTTTACTATGCTATGTAATCCAACGGCCCATTTTACAGATGGAAAATCAGGAGTTAAGTAACTTCAAGGTCAGATAGTTAAAAAGCCATTGTTGGAGCCCCAGTCAGTATGACTAACGATCTTGTATTCAGAGAAAATTGTCAGAATTTATTAGCCTGCTTTGAGAATGAAGTTTAAACCCTTTAGTCTGGTTGGAAAACATAATCTGCAAAATATGTACATGTCAAGTAAATGAGCCCCATACTGAGAGATTATAAGGTTGTATGGCACAATTTATTTAATGTTTTATCATGCTTTAAAAATAATTTCCTTAAACCATTAATCCAAGGTGACCCAAATCAGAATGGTTGTGGCTTAGATACAATCAAGGTATAAAGTAGGAGTACTAACATGGATAATGTTTCATCCCAGATTTACTTAACTGGCAGATTCTTGGAACACTGGTTGTAGACTATATGGTGGATAATATTTCCTCCTTAGCATTGTCTTTCACCTAAATTTAATATTTTGTTTTCATTGTTTAGGGAGGTGCATTTGTTGAAATCTTCAGTGCTCAGGGAAAAAATCCTGGAGCAAAATGGAAGATCGTTGGCAGTCCATCTGTGATTTGGAAAGTAAGTATTAGAAATTAGAGCCACATAAATCCTGGCAAGAAATACATGCGAAGGTTCTAGAAAAAAAGGGCTTGATTAGATTTTAGAACTGTTTTTCCTATTCTTTCACTGCAAAACCCTTTCACGATATTGTTGGATGCAGTCCTCCTAGACACTACTCCTCAGTTGTTTTAAGACTTTGGCACTCAGCTCATAACCCCTCTCAGTACTCCACTCCTGCTGTATCATTCGAGGACTTCACTATCTGAGGAAAATCTCTACAAGGCCCGGGCTTCGTAGATTCTTGATTTCTTCATCTTTTATGACCTCTTCCACTCTGCTCAAGCATTCATTCCCACTGTCTCACCCTGGTCCTTACCACCACAGACTGCAGGACCTTTGAAATTACTGAGTGAGACATTGAGATGTCCCTCTCTGACCCAGTCTTTCATTCCTAAGGTCGCTTGCTCAGTTACTCCCACTGTGTTTATTTTCAATCTAATTGGTACCTTTAGGCTGTTAACCATTCTACTTTTCCCTTGTTGTTTAGTTCTATTTATTTATTTATTTTCTTCGTTTTCACTTCCTTTTCTCTCCAGCTCAGAATCCATAGTCCATAATTTCAGTCACTTTCTGGTCAAGACATTTTATGCCCTTGCCCCTGTCCTTTCATCTTCTAGTTCCCAGCAAGTCTCAGGATAAGAATATCAAGGCCGAAGCCTAAATCATTTGAATGACTTTTTTTCTTGTAGATTGGCAGTTCCAATTTTATAGTAGAAACCAAATAAAATATTCTTTGATAACCGCTGTTTTCATTTTGTTCTATAGGAGTTTGATAAAGAAGTTAAAAGTTTTGTGTTTGTTCTGGAAGGCAGCAGCCAAACAAACAAAATTCAGTTACCAAAGGAGAATAAGCAAATCCGTAAGTATGATTTTTTAAATATTGAAGCTTAACATTTGATACTTAAAGTTACGCTTTTATGTTTCCTGAACAGGCATATCAGAATGACTTATACTGACATCTGTTGATGTGAAGTGATGTGATTTTTTTTTTTAATTTAAAAGGTAACTACATGCCAGGCACTATGCTAGGGTTTTTTAAAAATATATTCTACCTTACTGTTTATTAGAAATCTAGAAGTATTTTTAAGGAGACTTAGAAGAGTGCTTAGTACCCAGTAATTATAATCATAGTATTTATTGAGCACATTCTGTGTGCCAGGAACTTTCTAAGCATTTTACATTTATTAATTATCTTTTAATCCTCCCATTAGCTCTTTTACAGATGAATAAGCTAAGGTTGGTTCTTCATCAAGATATAGGAACTTAATTTGTGAGAAAAAATATTTTTAAAATACTGTATAAGGCATTATTTAGTGCCGTATGAACTCATACCTTTAAGAATATTAGTATCTAATAAGAATAGATATAAATATGTGATTTAACAAGAGCGCAGAATAAATTTCAATTTTCTTTCTTTAGAAATTAAGATCAACATTTTAAAGCAGAAGAAACTCTGAGATAACCTAAATTTAAGATCAGAAGCCCAGAGATGGGGTTAAAATTCAAGGCTCTGCCATTAGATTAGGCTTTGAGTAAACTGATGTGGTTTAAAGAATATAGTTATCAAAATGATTAATCAGATTTTCCATCAACTATGTCCTATGATTTAAATATCAATTTCATATGATCTAGCAAATATAAGTACACAATTCTTTTTTACAGTCATCATTTACTTATTCCTTCTTTCATTTATTAAGAACATTTATTGAATACCTACTATGTACCAGGCACTATGAAAAGACATTTTGTTGGTATCTAATAGTCTAATTTAATTCAGTTTTCTGAACTTATGTAGGCTCTGTGCTTTATGTACCATTTCAAGCTACTACATGCAGAGTTTAAATTTCTAAGACATTATCAGAGCCATAGAAGTTATAGATAGAAAATGGTTTATTTTAAAGTGGTTTGCCAGTGTGGCTTTCTAAACTAAAATAAGGAATAGACCTCAGAGAAAAAAATAGATGATTACTGTTAAAATAATTTTTATTAATTTACTACCATTTTAAAATCATGGTTTCCTCATAGTTCGTGTGTGTGTGTGTGTGTGTGTGTGTGTGTGTGTGTGACAGAGAGAGAGAGAGAGAGAGAGAGAGAGTTTCTGTGTGTTTAATAGCAGGGTTTTTTTCATTTCCACATAATGAATAAATTTATACTTATAATTGAGGTGAACTAAGATGAGCCAGGGAAACATCTGAAACTGTAGTTTCTTCTTCTTACAAGAGACACAGTCCATTTTTTAAGGATATTGACTTTATAAGATAGCTACATTTCAGTTGCAGGAATATGACTTTGTTTTAAGCCAGTGTTAGTTCTTTTGTTTGTTTCCTTATTGTTGGACTGCTAAAGCCCACCTGTTCTTCCATTTAATGCCCTCAGCATCTGCACATGGTTAAGTTGATAAAATCAATTACTTTTAGTGACCTTTCTCATTTGGCTCTGAGGAGGATTCTTCCTCTACCAAAGCCTAAGTGATTAAATACAAGTTCCTATTTCCTACTCTTATCCAAAGTTTTTTAAGAAACAAATCAAGTTTAATGTGTTATAATTACTTTTTAAAATGGAAAGATGATGATTTGATTGTACAAAACAGAAGAATCTTTTAATGTATTTCCTGTACAATGCCCTATAATTAAACGTTACTCAGTCTTTTCTGTAGCACATGCAGCACTGTAACAAATGAAATAGTTTATATAGTCTGACCTGCACTAGTGCCTTTTAAGATTATTTGGAATTTTTGATAATGGAAAGTTATAGTTCTTTTTACTTGTACAAAATGACCTTCTGTGTGAAGTTGGTATGGTTAAATTTAAATTAAATGGCATGTATTGAATATAGAACTGGCTTTCAATTAACATTTCTAAATTAAATTACCATTATGTATTCCTATTTTAAGAGTAAACATCCACTCTATTTATGCAAACTTGACATTAGGTACTCCATATGTGTTTCTGACTATATTAGGTACTTCTTAAGAAGAAAGTTTAGTAATGAAATTAAGTATGTTTAACTTTTCATTTTAAATAGTAATATTTCTGAATTAATTTATATTTTCAGATTTTCTTTTCGCTCAGCACTTACCAAATAAAGGGAAGCGAGATATTATCAGATTGTACACTTCTGCAGGGCAGGGATCGTGAATCATCCTTTTTGTACCCCTAACTTGGTGTCTAGTATTAATACATAGTCGATGTTAAAATAAGTTTGTTAAATTTGCTGCATTAAGAAATTATGTTGCTTTCAGCTGGCCTTGATACAAGACTTGAGTAAATCCCTCTCCAGCTAAATAAATAAATCCCTGCTGCTCTTCACCTTGGAACATACCATATATATAGAGTTGCCCATATGAGAAGCAGCTCTGTCACACATAAATATCTATTTAATATCATTTGGAGGGTCTTCTCCAGGACTTTGTATTTGAGGCTCATGTTTAAAACCACTGTTTTCTCTGCCTGTGTCATCTGAATCAAATGGTGTGGTCATGTCTGTTCATCGGTATCCCTGAAGTTTCAGCTCTAAGCTTTAGCTGCTCTGAAGGATGAGGTCGTCTTTGTGAGGTTCCCCCTGAGCTTCTTCATGCCCCTACTGTAGTATTCTTGTTAAAATAAGTCTCGTCATGACTTCCTCTGTTTAAAACTCTTCAGTGGCTTTGACCTTACCACTCTACTGATAGTGCTCTTGTCACATCACTGGTGACCTCTATATTTCTGAATCCAGTGGCCAGTTCTCAGCCCTCATCTTACTTCACATATTAGCATCATTTGAGATAGCTGACACCTCATTGATACACTTTTTTCACTCATTCCAGGATATCCACACTCTTAGTTTTTTTTCCTACTTTACTGATCTTCTTTTGTAGTCACCTTTATCATTTCTTCCTCTTTTCCCCAACCCAACTTGATGTTCCAGTGCCCCTGGACTCAGTCCTTGGCCCTCTATTTACATTTACTCTCTTGATTGTTGACTTCCAGTTCATGGATTTAAGTACCATCACTGTCTTAATCCAGCTTACATTTCCGGCTGAGACTTCTCTCCTAAACCCCAGACTTGCATATCAGCTTGCTTACTTGACATTTCTACTTGGACATCTTAAATACAATATGTCCAAAGCCTGACTCTGGTCTTGACTCCCTGAAATTCCTTTTCATCCTGTAGGCTGCCCCATTTCAGTTGTTAGCAATTTGTCTTTTCAATTACTTAGAATAAAAACTTGTAAATCAGTTTTGATTTTTTTTTTCTTTTCATTAATTCCATCAGGACTTATTGGTACTATTTGGTACTTATTTGGTACTACTTATTGGTACTATTTAAAAGAGATTGAGAGCCTGACTACTTCTTGGTACCTCCAGTGTCCCTGCCCTGGTCCAAGCCACCATTATCTCATGTTAGGATTATTACTGTAGTCTAATTGGCCTCCCTGTTTCTGACTTGTGCTCTCTACAGTGTGTTGTCAAATTAGTGACCAGAGTAATACTTTTAAATCATAAGTAAAATGTAAATCATGTTACTCCTCTGCTGAAAATGCCCCATCTCTCCCAGATAAAACCCCAAATCTATAGGACTCTGTAGTATCTAGTATCCTCTGAACATTCTGACCTTATCTCCTATTACCCTTTTCCTTGTTTACTGTGTTCCAACCATGTAGGTCTCATTGCTGTTTTGAAACATAGCCTAGGGCTCTGTTACCTTACCACCTGTGTGCAGGATATAGCCTCTACCTAGAGCTTCCTCCCCAGCCCCAGAATAGTTATATGGATCAGCCTCTCCCCTTCTTTAAGCCTTTACTAAAATGTCACCTTCTCAGTGAGGCTCACCTGACCTGTACTGAAGTTACAACCTGTGCTTTATATCCATTCTCCACTCTTGATCCCTTTTAACCAGCTCTACTTTTTCCCATAGTACTTATCATCATTTAACATGCCATGCAATTGTTGTGTTTGTTTATTGTTTTTCTTGCTGTCACCAGAAAGTAAGCCTCACTAGCTGAGAGAATTAAACTACTTTGTTCACCTAGACTAGTGCCTGGCACATATTAATAGTAGACAGTCAGTAAATCTTTGTTGAGTAAATGAATGAATGTATAAGTGGCTTCCCATTGATTTTAGGATGAACTAATATCCTTCTTTTGGCATTTAAGACCCCACATGATTGGGTTCTTGACTACTTTGCCGGATCTATCTCTTACTGCATTTCCTCTTCCATCTTTCCTACCAGCCTACTAAGCCCTTTTTAGATCCATCCTATCTACTATGTCCTTTTCCATCACAGGAAGGACTAGTCCTTCTAACTGCAGTATTTGTTCCTTTCTCCTATACCCATCCTCCTTGCTCTGTCAATTCTTGCTTATTCTTCCCAGCTGGGTTTTAATGTTATTTCAAGAAAACTTTTACCCATCATCCTCTTCCCCCACAAGGACCCGGGATTATATGCTTTCATAGCACCCTGACCTTCTCCTTCATGGAACTAGAATGTAAGTTCTAAGAGGGAAGAGACCAAGTATGTCTTCTTCACTGCAAAAACTTAAGTATTGAGTCTTGCACATGGTAGGTGCTCAATAAATCTTTGTTGAATGATAGAGCTAATTTAATCTATATAAATAATGCTGTGAGGTGTACATCTAAATTATTAATCCAGTTTTATACATGAAAAGTAAAAGGACCCAGACAGGTTTTCTAATTTGCTTATGGGATGTGAATTAGCCCATAATGAAGGCATACATTATTCCTGTTTTGTGTGTGGAAGTGGGAGGAAAAAAATCGGTAGCTTGTCTCAGGCAGACAATAGATTATAAAACTGTAAAACCTGTATATTTCAACAGAAAACTAAATTTGTATGAATTTTATATACTTGATGGGCATTTTTTGACTAACATTCAGCATTACTTAGAGAACGTGATTTTAAATATAATATAGACATGAAGAGTCAGTTTAAATTTACTAGGCCACTGGAAAAAATATTACTATAGAATTTATTTAGCATTTCTGACACACAGGATCAGTCCGTGTCAAACATTATTAAAGTACTTTTTTCTTTGTCAGATCATCACCATATGGTATTGTCATAGTTCTTTTAATCTTAGAAGTGAAGCCTTTTGGAAACTAGAGAGAAAGTTGAATTTACAAAGCTTTCTTTTTTTGAGGGTAGGGATCTTTCATATCTAAAAATGCTCATTCAAAAATGCCCTACATGTGTAGTTCTTTGTGTTTGAAGACAGCAGTGCTGATTCAGTGAGATTTTTGACATAAATTAGGGACCTTTTTTAAAGACTGATTTCATTTATCTATTTACAGAGGCAATTGTGCAATGGAAAAGTACTGTAGAGCCAATCAGTGCAAGATGCAAGAGAGACCAATTGATTTATTTAAGTTGCCCTCATTTTGGTATCTTGCTTTGCTTTTGTAGATCAGAACTCTGGTTGCTTCACTGGCTTTTCCCATAAATATGGTTGAGTTGGATTCCTAGAGAATTTTCTAGGGTCAGAGCCTGTTATCTCCTATTTCTATTACATTGCTTACTCTATTGATGACTTTCTAGAGCAACTTATAAGCTTAGTACTTTTAAGTAAAAGTTATTCCTGTGTGTTTGATTAAAATAATATGTGTGTTTGATCAAATATGTTTATTGTTTAGGAAGTAAATTTGGGATAAAACATAGGAATTGTTTAAGTTGTTCAGGAATGTTGAAAGAACATTCAACCACAGGATCGCAAACCAGAAGGTCTTTATATAGACTATCCAAAAATGTATTGTTACTTTAAAATACTTAAATTTGTTAAGCCTACTAAGTTGGAATAATAGAAAATAGCATGAATTTTAGACCAGTTGCCTTCCCTTTAAGTCTTACCCGTGTGTTGGCCTGTACTATTCGTTTTGTAGAAAAGGTTCACAGATAAATCAAGACATCTCCATTTCCTGCCTAAAGTTTCACATCTGGAAAATGGTTACTAAGTTGCATGTTTTAGTAGGTATGATACTAAAACATCTTTTAAGAGCACTGTAATTGAGAAATCAAGCATAAGTTCAAAACCTAAGAGGAAAGGCATTAAGTGAACAGAACTGGAGAGATGATATAAAATCAGTTGATCTTTCTAAGCAGTTGCAGACTTCAGCTATCAAAAGTGCCATAGGGACTGGTTTTTCTACAGATATTTTTAATCCAGATGAAGCTAGTGATAGGGAATAAAAGCTATCAATTTTTACTTAGCATTAAATTAATTAAAAGTATATTCAGTTAACAAAAGGCATTATAAATGAAAATCTGTTCTTCCATTTATCTCAGTGTGGACACATTTAAAACCATATGAACTAGCTATGGCTCATCAAACTTTCAGTTTTAGTTGTCATAATTAGAATTGTTTTTCTTGATCTATTGTTTTTTATTAAGTTGTTTAGTACAGTTAAAACTGTCAGTGAATAAAAATAATTGCCACATGCTTTTATGGTTGCCTTGATGGGAATCTATAGTTCAATTTTATGTCTCTGTTGAATGCAGTTCTGTGTTCGCTCTCTTGCAACCTAATAAAAATAGTAAATAAAAAATTATTCTAAAAATTTTCATAAAAAGTTCTTCAAGGCCACAGATGGGACTTTAAAAGGAAACATTTGTTGTTAGTTTGATTTGATTTTCATTAATCTTTTTGCTTTCATAATGAGGTCATAACTCATGGGTAGTGCTATTGCCGTTGTGTATATTACCGAAATGCTAAAAGCTTCAGCTTGCTCATGGTGTGCGATTGCGTTTGTTTGTGTGCATATATAACTGGTGGAACATTTGAATGTATATTTTCCCCCTCTCGTTCTAGTTGGACTGATCCAGAGGTTTCTTGTACTTCAGATTTATGTACCCCTGGGACAAGACTTCTCCACTGAATTACTGTAAGATATACAGAACTTCTTTGAATGTTTTATGTGTATTAGACATTTGATTAATTGAAGCAGTGCCAACAGTCATTAATTGCAAGTGGCAGTTTTTGCATTAAGGAGTAGTGACTTATCAAGTCGACATGAAGTAATTAAACTAATTGTACTTCTTAGATAGCACTATAGTCTGGCATTTCCCTAGGGAAAGAAAGCAAATTTTATCTGTTTAAGAAAATATCAAAGGATTATCATTTTGACAATAAATGACCTATAACTTGAAGAAATATATCATCCATAAGTTTGAGATTTTTGGTGCAAAAGAAGGGTGATGTTGTGTTTTATACTGTCTCCTATTCAAAACTATGGGTGTTTAAAATTGATTGCAATACCTCATTTTAATAACATTTACTTTGTTTATAAGAATTGGTCCTTCTTGTTTACATATAGATAGCTTGGAATATATTTGTTTTAAATGGCCTTGCTAGGCCGGGCGCTGTGGCTCACGCCTGTAATCCTAGCTCTTGGGAGGCCGAGGCGGGCGGATTGCTCAAGGTCAGGAGTTCAAAACCAGCCTGAGCAAGAGCGAGACCCCGTCTCTACTATAAATAGAAAGAAATTAATTGGCCAACTGATATATATATAAAAAATTAGCCGGGCATGGTGGCGCATGCCTGTAGTCCCAGCTACTCGGGAGGCTGAGGCAGAAGGATCGCTCGAGCCCAGGAGTTTGAGGTTGCTGTGAGCTAGGCTGACGCCATGGCACTCACTCTAGCCTGGACAACAAAGCGAGACTCTGTCTCAAAAAAAAAAATAAATAAATAAATGGCCTTGCTAGATTATTTAGCAAACATGAAAATATACAACTTTTACTCAGTTGAGCTATCTATTGTGTGAGGTGGTACTAGAATGAAAAGAACCATTTGATTTGTATACTCGCATAGAATTGAATATTTTAAGATTTTATTTAATACATTTGTACACTTTAGATAAATCCTTACATTTAAGGTATGCTATTTTCTAATGTTTCTTTGGAATGAATAGCTGTCCAAAGTCTACGCTTAGGCTTTTATTTTCCTCGCTGGAATAATGATTTTTCTTATTAATGAGGATAATTTTGAACTAGTTTTACTGGTGCAAAATAAGAGGAAGGAAAAGCTGTTTCTTAACGAAATGGGAATAACATAAATTTGAGATTATTCATTTCCCTTTGTTTATATGAATTAGGGTGTTAATGATTGATTCATATATTGTTAATATATGAATTTTAGCTAATAATATAATGTTTTCTTGGGTGATAAAGGAAAGATGGAACAATTTATACCTATGTTTTATTCAGCCTTAAACTTCAGTATACGTCTAACTAAGATCTTCTTTGATCATCTGCCATGGTCACTGAGATTCTTTAAAACAACTCTTAGAGTAACAGGACCAAAGCATTATTGGTGCTCTTATGTACTACTTTCTGGTTCTGTAGAAAAAGCATTCAAGACTCCGAAGACATAAAGGTACAGGAAAGACTGCATAAAGCTTTATTTTTAGTGTAGGGAAAAGTGGTTTTCTACCAAATAGAAGAAGACAAATTATATTTCATTTATAAGCTTTTTAAGCTCCTTTCATAGAAATCCAGGCAGCCCCCCTTATTCTCAATATGGCCTACACGTTAAGATTCTTTAGGAGTGGTGGGGGCGCTAGTGGTTGGCCTTTTGATCACAGCTGTACAAGACATTTGGCCAAACCTTGGAACAGAATCTTTTGCCAAGGAACCCTTTTTTCTTTGCAAAATTAAGCTTTATTTGTGCCCCCAAACACTTGGCCTTATCATGCTAGCCTAGGCATTATATTGTTTTAATTAATTTAGTAACAACTAAAGCTTTAATTATTGAGAAATCACCATGTATCTTAGGTTTAACTTAGTCCTAGCAGGAGAGCAGCTAGGACTTCTTTGTTACCTCTGTTACTGCATTACTAATGATCTTGGCCTATTTAAGGATGGAAAACATTTTCAACGCTGTTGGGATTAATGATTAGATTTTGAATTCATTTGACTATAATCGTAGATTTTCTTGTTCACTTATCCACGTGGGCAAACATTTGGATTTTCCAAATGGTTTTAGTTTTATAATTTTAGGAAAATAAATGTCCTATCAATAAAAAGTTGAAATTATTAAATAACATGGAAAAGTCATTCTCTGTCCTGATCTTGTGAATTTATGAGATTATAAGACAATATATTAACTCTGTATTTGAATTTATTGCCAATAGAAAGTCAAAATATTGTGCTATTTGGGGAAGTAATGACAGAGATCATGTTTTTACAAGAAGGGAAGCAGAATAACAAGTATAAATTCTGTTTCTATCTCTAGTTTTTTCTGCCTTAAATGAAAGAGCTTTCTTTCAGCACCCTCGGTGTTTTACTATGTTTCTAGCAGCATAGCTCTAGGCTATTTTAAATAATACATTTCTCTAACAAGCTTGTAAAGTCACATAACAGAAAGATATCTGGCTTCTAAAAGTTTCCATTGTCAGAATGGGAGAGGCATTTTGTTTCACAGAGATACGTTTATACATCAAGAGGTTTTCATAAGTGGAGCCTTGCCAGCTGGTTTATGAAGTTAGTAATCATTTCCTTAGTACCTTCCTGTGTCTCAGAAAGTTATGCATATGGGTTAGTGGATGCCTTAGAACCAGCAACAGCACTGCTTGGGGAATTGCTTATTCATTCAGTCAACAAATTATTGCATCCTGTTATTGCCAGGCAGTGTGTTAGGCATGGGAGATTTGATTTACCTTGAGTTGGTATACTTTTCCCTATCCTCACTGCTGTCTTCCTAGTCCCACATTTCCCCTGATTTACTGTTAGAGCTTCCCTGTGGGCATTCTAGCTTCCTCTCTTGTCTTCTTCCACTCTAGTCTGCACACTGCAGTTAGAGTGATCTTTCTAGAAAACAACTGAAATTCCCATTGAACTGAGGATGAACTCTCAGTCAAATCCATAATACTCATATGTGCTGTGGTCTCTCACCTCTCCCTTCTCATCTCATACCTCTCAGCTGTGAGCTTGCAATTTGTCCCCAAGCTCTTTCCCTTCCTCAGGTGCCAGGTGAGGTCTCCTCTTAGGGTCCTGTGCACAAGTGCTTTCTCTCCCAGGTCTTTTCCTGGGAGAGAAAGTCTCCTCATCTCAGCTTACGTGTCCCTTCGTCAGAAAGGCCTTTTTTGATTTCTCCCCAACTAAATGAGATTCATCTCTTCTGCCATTTTCTGGCACCTTGCTCTTTCCCTTCATCACAACCGTAACAGTTTATATATTTATTTGATTATCTGTGTTTTGGGGGGTAGACTTTGAGTTCCGTGAGGATGGGGACCCTGTTCGTTCTACTCAGCTTGATATCCTGGCACCCAACACAAGGCCTGGCTTATAACAGACTCTAAAATACGGATGGACTTACAAATTCAGAAAGGATAAGAAGCACCCAATCTCTGTCCTCAGAAAGTTTACTCTGAAGGTGAATGATCCACTAAAGGACAATTTAAATACATTTTGATAAATGTTATGATGACATAAGGGCAAGGTAGTGAAGTATTAGGTAGAAGAAAGAGCCTAGGCTTGGAACTGGAAAGCTCTGCAGTCACCTTCAGCTTTACCTCTATACGACCTTGGGTAAATCGCTTAACTTACCTATGGATTGAGAATAAAAATACTACCTCATGTGTGTCATAAGCATTAAATGAGAAAATTAATGTAAAGTAATAGTAATAGCTAACATTAAGCATTTGATATACCAGGCATTATTCTAAGCACTTTGTTTTAGCTCAGTGAATCCTCAGAATTAGCCCATTTGGTAGTCAGAGTTATCACTGAACGAACTGAAGTCCAGAAAGGTTGAGGAAATTGCCAGAGGTTATAGACGTACTACCAGAGCCTGGATTCAAACATACAGTCTAAATCTAGCACCTGTGCTCTATACCACTTTGCCCTGCTGCTTTACTTGTAAATATTGTTATTTTTCTGATTATACATACATACACAAGTAGTGGATTTATAGCAAATATTTTATTTGAATCTCTGTATAAGCTAAGCCTTTTATATCTTTTGTAGGGGCTTCTCATAATACAGTTTTATCATAAGAGTTCCAGAAAGAAAAGGTATTTCATGCTGAGATATTTTTTTATCTTTACCCTTTTGATAGATAAATGCCTGAGAGTTAAAGAATTTTACTCATTTTTTTAGTGATAATATTCATATTAGATTTTTTAAAATGAAAACTAAAAAACATCTTTTCCTCCTCTTCTTTATTGATTCCTGTGTAGGCCTCTTTTTTCTTTAACATCTAAAAATTATGTTATTGAACATCTTTTAGCTGTGGATAAGACGGCTTCAGAACTTCATGAACTGATCAGCAATTATCCAAACACATTACATTTTGCATGTGGAGCAAAGGGAGTGTTTACTAGCACACAGTGTATTCAGCAGTGAAGGAACGGAATTCTCTTGTGTTTCTCTTTCAGGGTCAAGGTGTCAATCCACAGAAGACTTCCTTGCTTTTTACAGAAGTCATCTTGACTTGCTTATTTCATAGCATTAGGTGCAGTTTTCTTTTACAAAATATTTTGGTGTAACTGTGTCTAATGGTTTCACTTGAAGATCAATGATTGAATAAACAACAGGTTTTTAAAGAATTCTTTCATTTTTGTGGTATCTTGCAAACTGCATGGAGGCTATGGGAGGCCATCGGCTCCCCTGGGGTGGGCTCCTTAGGGTTTCAGAGCCTGGGGGCAGACATCTGGTGCACTGGAGGAGCACTGTGAACCTGAGCTCTTGGCAAAGAACCAACTGCATCTTGAAATAGAAATCTATTTTGCTATATTTTTCTGCCAATCACACTAAACGATTTTTGAATATTACATTTCTGACAGGGATTGTGTTCATTTTCTGAATATTGTTGGGCTGCATTAATTCCTTTCTCTATTCTGATTTGTCATTAATCTTGATGAATTCTGAGAGGCATTTTGTACTG